TACTGCAGAAAACCATAAAAACAATGATGTATAAGGCTATACAATTAAAATACATAAAAGGTAGTGATTAGCTTTAGCCTGTGGTACGTTAAGCAAACAAAGTATGGTAAGTCTTAGAGTTTTAAGGTGTCTGGGTGTCCACTTAAAGAATACAAGAATTAGGGCTAATGGAGGGGAAGAATGAAATGTGAAAATGAAGAAAAAAAAGAAAAGAAAGATAAAAAGGTAAACAAAAACCCCCTCACAAAATAAGATAATAGAAACAAATCCAATTATTTAATAACAATAAGTGTAAACTGTTTCAATAAAATGAAAATGGAATGGATTTTGAAAACTAGCTATATTGCTGTTTACAAGGGGCACAGCCAACACAAGAATATAGAAAGGCTATAAGTAAAAGAATGGAAAAAGATATGTTGTGCAAATACTTACCAAAATAGACTTTAAGACAAGAAAGTGTTAGTAGAGATAAAGAAGGTCACTGCATGATGATAAAATGTTCAATTTCATCTGAAAAAGATAATTAATTCTAAACTTTCAGGTACTTAATAGCGTCAGTCCTAAATAAAAGGTAAAAATGGACAGAACTGAAAGGAGATAAAGAAAAATCTGCAGCCATAATGGATATGGAGAGAGAAACAGGATTATTTTTGAATGATCCTGGAAGCTTCTTAAGGTTGTCTGGCAATGAGTTAAATGGGGTAAGAGTAATCTATAGCCCCAGATGCCAGCAACTGGTGTTTTCATGACAGATGTGCAACTTCTCTAAGCATTTGTCGCCCCAGCTCAGGGTGTATCTCCCTTGAATCTCCACCTGTAAGTAGGCTCTTTTGCTAGCCCCATAAAAAGCAGGTGAGTTTCTTTTCCTAGAGCATGATCCATGATTATTCTAGCCACACTCAGCACAAACACTCCTCTTCATGGGAAGCTAAGAGCCTGGGGTCTGCATACCTGCAATTTTCCTTACCCTCGCTTCAAATTGAAGGTGGGAGATTTCAGCACACCTTTCTCAGCAATTGATAGATTAAGCAGACAAGTAAGGGTTTAGAAGGTTTGACCAACACGACATAAATTCGATGTGACAGAAATCTAGAAAACAATGCAGTTTACCTACAATTATAGGGTCTACATTCTTACTGCGTACACATGGAACAAAAATAAAAATTGATTATACATTGGGCCGTAAAATAAGTCTTATCAAATTCCAAATGATTAGTGTAATACAAACCACTCTCCCTGAATACAATGCAATTAAATAAAAAATTAGTAGCAAACTAACAAACTAGAAAAAAACCCATGTTTGGAAATTAAGAAATGTAATTCTAAATAACTCATGGAACACAGAAGCAATTAAGAAAAAAATGGAAAATATTGAGAATGGAATAATAAAAATAAGCATATCCACATATGTGGGACACAGAATTAGGGAAATATTAGCCTTAAAGGCACATTATAGAAAAAAAATCCTGAAAATTGCTGAGTTAAGCATTCATTTTAAGAAGTTAGAAAAAGAATAACCAAATTCATGAATTCAACAAATATTTGCTGAGCACCTAATATGTACCACATACTTTTCTAAGTCCTGTGAATAAGGCCATGAACAAGGCAAGGTGATGGGGGATGGATCATATATGGCCATAAAGGACTGGGGCCTTTACTGAATGGGATGGAGCCATTGGCTGGCTTGAGAGAAGAAAAAGTGCAGACCCTGCCAGCTGCTCTGCTGAGAAAACACTGAAGGAGAGTAGGAGCAGGACACGTGCCATAATCTAGCCAAGACGTGATGGTGGCCTGACCCAGGGTAGTAACAGTGGAGTTGGTGAGACATGGTCAGATTCCAAATCTATTTTTAAAGTAAAGAGATTTCTTATGGATTAGATGTAGGAGGGGAGAGTGATGAGCCAAGGATGACTACAAGGCGTTTGGCTAGAGCAAGTATATCAAGCTGCCTTTTTCCGGGGTGGGGATGGCAGCTGCTCATTTCTGAACATGTTGACTTTGAGAGGCTTGTGATCTAGCTGAGTGGTGACTGACTATGTGAGTCTAGAATTTAGGGGAGCAGTCCAGGCTTTGAATGTTTGGTGATATTCAAAGCCAAGAGCCTGGATGGAATCTCCAAGGAGTATAGATGGAAAGGAGCCCCAAGGCCTGAGCTTGGGCTCCCGCAACATTGAGAGGGTGGGAAAAACAGCAGGAACCAGCAAAGGGGGCTGAGAAATGGCCGGGGAGGTGGCAGGGTCTGTTATTTTGGAACTCAAATGGAGTGGGTATTCAAGGAGGTGCCATGAGTCCAGAAGAGGAAACCCAGATGGCTAATAAGAATATGAAGAGTTGTGTGTGTGGCTATCAAACACAGTCAAATGAAAATGCAACCACCTTACAATGTAACACATGTCATATGTACCAAGAGAGAGTCTAGCTCAGGTCCATAAAGGGACATGGGAGAGGATGTTTATTGCAGCAGGAAGCGGCTAGAGTCTCCTTCAGAGGTGCTGGAGGAGTAGAATATGGTGAAAACAATGTAGAATGCAGTGCTGCAGCTGGAAACAGTGGACTAGATGTAAACAAAGCAACGTGAATACATCCTTAAAAAATAAAACATGAATGAGCTCTTAGGCTCAATATCGTTTAAGTGAAACACACAAAATAGTACTATGTACATACATTTCTAAGGATATGTATTCAATTTATTATATTGGTGTCTCTAGGAGAGAGGGGAATGTGAGTGGGGATGGGAGGATGGACGAAGGAGAAAAAAATAACAAGAAAGGGTTTTGTGTGGACATAAATATGATTAACCAACTCTGTGCACCAGAGATCCACCCCACCCTAAATAAAGGTTTTCTCTTGCTTGAATCCAGACATAGGATTTGAAGGACATACGCTTATGGCTTACGGCAGCTATAGTCTGAGTATCTTATACACGATGGGTATGGCAACTGTTAGTTGTCTCTGATATGCACTCTCTTCTTATTCCTTAATAATACATCCCCCCAGCCTCCCTTGTGGGTGGGTGCATTTACATGATTAATTTCTGGCCAGTGTTGTATGGACTTCTGGGAAGATTGGTTAAAAAGAGAGAGCATGTGCCATTTTATCCTCCTCCTCTATTGGCTTAGAATGCAGACACAATGGCTGGTACCTTGGTAGCCATCTAGGACCACGAGGCGACTTTAAGAATAGAAGCCATATGCCTGGAAAGATTGGAGCTGGGATCCTGATGGTCCATGAAGCTTCTATACCAGACTTTGATGACTCACTTCTGGTCTTCTACGTAAATGAGGAACATACTTCTATCATGTTTAAACCATTGGTCTTTTGGATTTTTCTATTATATGGAGCCAAATATTTTCCTAACCTATAGGGTGGGTTCTGATTAGATGTTGGAGAGAATTTCATTTTTTCCATATCTGCCATTTCTTAGAAGAAAGGTTTCCTGGAGATCCTTTTTAAAATGCCTCCTGCTTCTTCATCTATTTGGTGTCTTAAAAGGGTAGTAGTTATACTTCTATTGAGATTTAATTTTTAAGATTTTTTTTCAGTTATGGAAGAATTCTATCAAAGTATAAAATGACCTGGACTAGACTTTGAGGCAAAACAGAGGTTTGGCAGAAGACCCAGACGGCCCGGCATCAGATTTTAGTACAGAGCTGGTGATATCTTGTTAATATCCACTTTAGACATAAACACTGAATGAACAAACATGATCTCATGGACAGATGGCTTTGCTGATGGATAGCTGCCAGTTAGTTTGATAGTGTAGACAGAGATATAAGTAAGCACTTACATTAATTTTATTACTAAGAACGGTAACCTAATGACGAGACAGACTTTAAGGACCAGAAGTAATCTGGTGGACTGGAAAACTCCTGATTGAATGGAGGAAGATTTTGCTAATTGGTGATTTCTCTTCCTCTTCAGGTTTTATCTTTTGATTACTTTGAGTTCGTCCAGGCCTTTTCTGGCTTAGGGGAACAGGTTGGGTAACCTTAGAGAAGTGTATTTAATTAGCACTAGTGATGGTGGCAGGTCTTGTTAAGCCAGGAAGCATCTGGAATGACAGCACTTGAAATCACTCACTGGACCATTGTCCTACGTGTCAGGCTCATCAGTGCTCTTTGCTGCAAACCGATCTCTTCCTTTCCAGACCTACAATTTGGAATCTTTTTTGGCTTAGCCATTCATACTTTCCCAGATGTAATTTTGTTTAAAAAATAATTTGCATATGCTTTGTTGTTGTTACAAAAGTGTATGCTCACTGTAGAAAACTAAAATTCAGACAAGAACAAACAAAAAAACAAAGCAAAACATCAACAATTCCACCTACTAAAAACAACCATTTTTAACCCCTTGGTGTGTCTATTTTCGTACCTCCTTTATACTGTGTGGTGTGTATGTGTATGAATTTTAACCATAGGGGAGTGAAATTAATTTTAATAAAAGCAGTAATTAATGAAATAGAAAGCAAAAACCAGTAGACTTGATTGGTACAACCAAAGGCTTATTCTTAAAAAGACCAATGAAAGAGGTATATCTCTGTTGGTCTCATGGAGGGGAAAAAGAGAAAAACACAAATGAACAACATTTGAGATAAGAACAGGAACATAACAAGACAGATGGAGGATATTAAAATTCTAAGAGAATAGTGTTTGTAAATGTGTAAGAATGCAACCAAAAAGCTTCTGAGAAAATCCTTAGTGACTGCTGGATGCATGTGGAAACAGTCTACTAACAACGAGGAATGCTCTTCATTTAATTTAGGCACATTTATCTTAGGATCAAGGTCCCAGGTGTGGCCCTGAGTGGGTAGGTGATACACAGAGAAGGTGATGGCCACTGAGTGGTTTGTTCATGTGCACAGTCATGAGTGGATGGACCTGCACATGCTCTTTAATGCTCATATTGTATTACACTGAAACCTCATCTTCGACATCCTGAAAAGGTTCAAGTTCTTTACTAGCAAAGACGTTTCAGACCGAACTCCGGAATCATTTGCAGCCATTTTTTTTTTTTTATTCCAAACATGTATTTTTGTAAACCTGCATTTCCCAAACAGTGCAAGTGAGTTAGAAGTGACTGCATAGACATTTTTTTTTTTTTAATACATGTGACTTCACGAGGAGGAACACCCCTCCCACCAAAAGTCCTCAATGGAAACGTACATGGATGCATCAGTCATGGTCTGGAAGTGAAGTTAGCGTGGGTGCCTGCCATGCAATTAATAACTCTTAAAGCTTTGAAACTCACTCTGCCAGTCACACCGTGCACATTAGAATTAAAAAAAAAACAACCTTAAAAAAGTCTGAAATCATTGTGCTGTAAAGCATTGCACCATGTGAGAAATTTGTTCATTATCCCTACAATGTGCTGAAAATCAGAAAACATTCTAGAAGGTTTATGGTTTGACCCTATTTGCTCTCTATTCTCCCTTCAACCATTGTTTCAGAAACTATTCTCCACTGTGTATATTATTGCTCTGTATAGCAGAAGAAAACATCGACTAAAGCCCTGTATATTGGATTATATCATTTCCAAAATGATATAATCCAATATACTCATTTTCTGCCTTTCTTCTGCTAAAGGGCCATTTTCCCCAAATTATAGTTCTTCACAGTGCCTGTAAATTTCCAGAGGTTTGAACCCGGTGTAGGTAGGTTTTACCAGATGTTTCATATGTAACCTGTGCATAACTGTATTCGCCTGGGCATAATGCCTCATCCAAAAATAAAAGCAGAATAACCTTTAAAATAATTATTCTGCCAGGGTTGAACAGGTAGCACACAGCAATGTATATCACTTTAGGGATCCACTATGCTTTGTATTGAAAACAGGTTCCAAATATTTTCAGTAGGCCCGCTGGTTTTCTGTTTGTTCTCAATCTCCTTGCCTTTGGCTCAAGGACCGTAGACTACACATGACTTGGTGAAGAAAAACTTTCTACTGAATTTTCTACGTTTATCAAACTTGAAAATATTCCTAGTGATGCTGATGGGATTTTCCTGAAGAACTGACTGGGAGAGCCTCAGTGACCTCAGCGGTAATTGATTCCAGATGTGTGCCGTCAGTCACTGTGAAGCCAGTGGATCCACTCACTCCTTCTAATGCCTCCTTGTTCCTAAACTTCGTGGTCTCTTTGTGACAGGTCCGAGGCTCACTCTAGGGATGTTCCAAACTGGTGAGTCCCAGGTAAATTGAGCATAAGCGAATCGTTTTTAAAAAGGGGGGCATGCTTTTGCTCAGTTTCTACAAAGGTCCTTTTTCATATTTAAAAAGCATCTCAATCCTTCTGACAGTTGGTTAAAACCACAGTGAAACATAACTAAAAGCTGAAGCAGACTGAAAGGATGCTGTGCAAGAGAATGTTTTATCAGAGTCCACAGTGACCCTTCAGAAACGGGCAGGGTAGCAAATTGAATGCACTGTGGAGCCGTAAAAGAATATTCTGGAGAAGTAACACAGACACGACAACTCACCCCGTCTGCTTGCGCCGAGAGCCTACTGAGGCCTTCTGAACTGGGATGTGGCTGGTGCACGGTCCAAGCTGGGAGAGCACTGACAGCGTGTGGGACTTCTTCCTCTATCAGTGGGCTAAACGGTTAACTCCCCAATCCCTGTAGCCCCACCTGCTACTCAGCATGATTGGACAAGCAGAGGCACCATCCCTCCCAAATGGGTCCTTGGAGTGGCAGTCAGTATGTTCTCTTGCGGATGCCAAGAATGATTTTCTCAGAAACTGCCTCATGAAGTCTTAGTGATCTCCTGGTCTACTCAGGTCTGTCTACCATTCTAAGAGCAAACGGATCCAGCTCTGACATTGCCCACAGGAGCCTGTCCTTGTTGAAATGAGGCATTCCCCTATGGCTGGAAGAACTGTGGGCCTGAAAGTCACCCTTCCACAGTGTCACCAATGCATCTGCATTCCTTCTAGGAGGCTAGTTAGTGGCTATAATGGCGTTTGGACAAACCACTGTTGGAGCTGTCCCAAACCTACCACCTAAGTAAGAATTCTGGGTGATTTATTAAAGGACAACATAACACAATGAACAAGAATCCATCAGAAGAAAGCTGTAAATGGGATTTCACAAAAGGATCCACACCCTGTACTCCATTTTGGGAAGGTTTGCCTCCCTCAGGCAAAATGTGCCTGTGGTGTCCTCTGGGGAACCTCTAGGAGTTAGTATAGTTCTTGATACACAGCAGGGGCCCTATAAATATCCTTTAAATGAGTGACTAAAACCAATTCAAGACTGCTTATGCTACTTTTGATAAAACTCACAGGCAAACTCCCAGCGAGAACTGGTTTCCCTGCCTGCATCTGCCCTGGAGTTACCTCTGTGCCTCCATCGCTCTGCTAGCCGCAACACCCCTAACTTCATTCTAAGATCAGCTTCCTTCATGCCATTGACCCTCTGGCTTTTGCTGTCTATTCCCATATTCACCAGGAAGGGAAGCATGATACACTTATTATCTTCCTACATCAGAGTCAACTGCACAACCAGAAACGAAAAGACACGTTCCATGCTAGGTTTGCAACTGTCCAGCACTCTCACAATTTGGCCAAAACTTTAGACATGTTTGTAAGTATTAGCTACCTGTATAGAAAACCTGTCTCCCCTGAAGTTGAGTTCCGTGTCTTTTCAACAATGTTCACAGAACCCCCCTTTCCCACCCCATGTGAGCTTCCAGTAATCAAGGCCTTATAACAAAGATCCCTTCATCCTGTTTCTTGTTTCATTCCCATTTGATGCCATCTGTATCTTTCTGGGGCTTGAGCAGGCTCTGATAAGCCATGAAGGACTGGTTGTCAGACCCAGCTCTGAGCCATGTTTTTTTCTTATTAGATGGTTATCCTGCAGTGGTAACAGCAGTCAAAGCTGCTAATGGTTACTGAGTGTTTACTCTGGGCCAGCTGCAGCGCTGAGCATGCTACAGCCATCATCTCATTGGCCTTTTAGAAAATCACGATGCACTCAAAACTGCACGCAGCACAGTGTATCTGATACTAAACACTGTCAAACAGAAGGCTTAAATATTGAAGGCCATAACTCATCATTCACACATGCATGAGATAGGGGAAGATGTTGGGGTTATGCCCAGATCTCTTTGCATCAGTTCTCTAGGCCTCCCCATGTTGGGGGTATACCTGCAGCTCTCTTTTAGAGGACTACCCCTCAGCTACTGGGACTGTTTCACCAGTAGGAACTGAGAACAGAAAGTTTACATCTCCCCTGGGTGCAAGAATATGAAAGCTCAGCTCCCTTGCATTAGGTTGGGACATCTGAGAGAACAGCTTACCGTCCAGAGCTCCCCTGCAGGACCAGGCTGAAGCCACCTTCCATGGGACCTTCCCTGAAATGGCACCCTTACCTGGCTTCCTCTCCTTTCCTGTCCTGTTTCGCTCACTCCCTTACTGGCGTCCCCTGGAAATACCTCCTTAATAAGTTACTTGCACGCAGATCCTTGTCTTGGGTCTGCTTTTGGGGGACCCCACTGAAGATACTATTTAAAAAATAAGAACAGTTTAGACAGTCATCGCTGGGAAGGAATCTGCAATTATCATTAGCTGGAATGGCAAGAGTGATGGGGGAAATGAAGACCTCTGAACTCAAATGACCATGAGAAGGCAACACGTCACAGCATTCAGACCTAAGTCTTTGCTCGGTGGGCACTAATTTAGTCCTCGTGGTACATGGACTCTGATGCATGATGTCCAGGATGAGATGCCATTGAGGTTTACCAGATGACTGACTGGAGTTGCTCCAAGCTCCCTTCTATTCATCCAAGTGGAAGGAGGGTGGGTGTTTGCTGTACAGAGGTGACGCAGAGCAGACTTGTTTAGGAATCAGGTTTTTCCATCCAAATTCCTGTTGGGAATCTTCCAATGAAAAGTACGTATGAAAAAACTTAGAGTTCCTTAGCACACGACTTCAAACTTGACTCCAGGCAATAAAGATGTGAAATGTCTTAGGGGTCCTGCCACGACCAGTTTATATGCAGCACTGACAGTTCGGTGGATTCGTTACATGAGGTTTCTTCAGATTATTTTATCTGCAAGTCTATTTTAACAGTAAATTCCAAAGAACAGTAAGATTTTTATCCTTTAAAATTTGTATGAATGTACATGTGTTTCCAAGATTTCAGGCCAGATATCAGTGCTTGAGTGAATTATATAACTATTTAATAGAAATAATAAAACATCGATACAAATATAAAGACATAATCAGTATAAAAGGCTTATATTTATAAAAATACTTTTAGGTAACAGTTTTCCCCTGAGGGTTGACCACGCATGTTGCATCCATAAATATTGCTCGGCTCCGTAGCTTGCTTTCCAAAGTTCAGAGTTCATCTTTAAAAGGAAGTGGTGGTGGCTCCAGTCATGCGACCTGGCCAAAGTGGCTGCCTCAGGTTGGTGCCTGGGCATGACAGAATGAGGACGAGAACAGCATCAGTGGGGCCTCCGAAAAATCTGGAGAAGATTCTTTCTTCCAAATATGGAAGATACAAAGATCAAGGACGACAGGCGAAATGGTTGGGTCACGTGACGGGTGTGGCAGGTCACTGGCTTTTTTCGACCCAGTCCCAACTGTCTTCGTTCTCTTTCCGGTTCTTCTCAGCTTCAATAATTTCTTTGTACCTTCGGCGAAAGAAGCCCATCTGAAAGGCAGAGAGGAGAAGCCAGGTTAGAAATGCTGAAGAATCAGCCGTTTTGATTGCCAGGGCGCCTGGCGGAGGAGGGGACATGCCCTGTACTCACCGTGCAGGGAAAGCTGGGAAAACTCAGATTTGGCTGTTTTAGAAAAAGCATTACGTGGAGCCTCTTGTCAAAACGCATGGCTTTCCTGCGGGCTATCCTATGGTTGTTTGCTCCTGAAATGCTCCTGGTGGAGTGTTTCTCAAACTGTGGACTGGGGAACACTGGTTACGGAGAGTTATTCCAAGGTATTTGGGAGTAAATGGGTTTCATGGTCAACGTAAGTTTGGAAAATACTGCCTTCTTTCTTTAAGAGATTTGCAATGTACAGCAGAACAGTAAAGGATCTAATAAACCCTTAGTAAAGAATAGAAGAAACTTGGGGGCTTGATATTTCCTGAGTTTAATTGGCTTTTGAGAAACCTATTAATGTCCTGAGAGATGTTAGCCATTGTGGACTAATTTGATAATTGCTGCTCCCACATAATAGGCTTTTGAAAGTGTCTGCATTCTACCTTGCTGTCATCTAGATTTTTCTCTCGAACCTGTAAAACTCATGCTATAAGTGCACCACAGCCAGCAGCGTGTACTCCCCTAGAACTGGCGTCTCACCCTGACCCAGATTAGCTTGATTCTGAACAGACCTTTCCTACTGAAGTCTTATGGCTTCTCACATGTTAAGTTTCTAGTTTTTCTCACGCAGTCATCACAGGCACTTACTGTCGGATATTTAAGCAATTTTTTGTAGCCCAAAGCTGACCTTCTCTCTCATGCCTAGGGTGACCTAGCATCTCATGCCCTTGGCTCACCAGCATTAGTGGTGTCTGTTTCCAAGGTCAGACATCCCTCCTTGCATTTGTCCCTAAGCATGACTGGCCGGACTGGGTGTACTCCAGTCTCCACTCTCGCTGGGGGAGATAATCCTGAGGTGCATGTCCAACCAGTTTCCCAGTTGAATTTGACTGCAGTGCTAACCAGCTTGACACATCCTTTATCGGCTTCCTTCTCTTCCCTGTCTTGCTTCCCTGCTCCGATCAGAGTTTCTTGAGGTCACCATTCAAATAAATGACCTGCCCGCAAATCCTGCCTTTCAACCCCCTTGAATAGAGGAATTCAGACACACACACACACTTGGTCTGCTGCTGGGAGGTCTGCTGTACTGCAGGTTTGTGGTACCACACTGTCATGAGCTTATAATTCCCGTAGTCTCATTTGAAAATGCTCAAGACTAGTCATCTCTACCGTCTGCTGCCAACAGTGAATGCCCAGATAAACCTGCCCTGAGGAAATCATTAAGCAAACCCAGCTCTCACGGGCACAGTTCACTCTTTGTTTCTTGTGCATTAGTCTTCACGTTCCTTTATGAGTCAAGCGTCCACAGCCACCTGATGATGTGAACTCCCCCAAAGAAGGAAAAGCAAATGGGGGTCAGAAATTGTTCTACTGTAGCCAGAGATGAGAACCACCCACAGAAATGCCAGGAAACATCTTCACTCGCATTGCCAAGGGCCTCCTGAGAGTTCGCTCAGAGAGGAGGCAACGAAGTGGTGCAGTTTGAATGACTGCAGGTAGAAGCTGCCTTACAAGAACTGGTTAAGGGTCTCGTGTTCTGAGCTTCCCTCCTCACGGCCAGTTTTGTGAGCAGACATGGAGTTTCTAGTGTTTTTAGCTCTGCAGTTTTCATCTCAGCTTAAGGCCACATCTGTCAGAACGCCACTGTCCGATACCCCCGCACAGACACTTTCTCTCCTGAAATCCCTACCACCTTCTCCCCTCTGGAACAGGGGCTTGACGTTAATGTTCTGGATAATTAGAAAAAGGTCCTTGTCATTGCCCTCAGAGCACAGAAGGCCGGAAAAGCAACCCAAGACTGAACAGAAATGTCTGACTAAGAAGTTAGTTATTGCCTGAACTATCATTCTTCATAGATAGAGATGTGGCTGACCAGACAAACATGTCAGGTGCCCCTTCTGGGCTGAGCAGAACGTAATCATAAAAACAAGGCTGGATATAATTTGGAAATAAGACTCTTGAGCACACGACTCTGCCTGCCGATGGTGTCATGTTTCAGCAAGCCCATGTTACTCACTTTCAATTCCGGAGAAGTTACATATCTCTCCATGACACCAATCGAGCAGAATTTTAACGGTCTGCACCCTTCTCATCCTTCCCATGGTCTTAGGACTCCTTGGAGGCAAGACTTGTGCTTTTTGCCCAGCTGAGACCCTCCTAGACCAGCCAACCCTCACCCACCTGGAGGTGTGGGTCCAACTAAGACTGGAAAACCACCCTGTTAAACTCAGTCCAACTCAGAGAACTGTGGGCTATACGGATGGTTGTTGCTTTAAAGCCACAAGACTTTGGGGTGACTTGTTATGTGGCATGAGGTAACTGATACAGGACGCCATAATTTTTGCCTGACTTACTGAATGAATCAACACTCACAGGGTGGCAGACAGGCAGCTGGCAGGTTCTAGATATAAAGAGCATCACTGTGCCTTGCTGAACAGGCTTTCCTTGTTCACCTCTAAGAAAGACAAAAGTCGGCTCACTTTCTCATAGCTGTGCTAGTGTAAGGATTTGACAGAGTGCACAAACAACCCATCGAGGACTTACTCTCACATGTGGCTCTGGTGTACTCATGTTTTACGTGTGTCATGTGTGTTACCAAAAAGTGAAGGTGCAGTCATCCCCTGCAGGCACCCAGAAGCAAGCTCTTTTCTCTCGAGTGGAGTCAGCACTAGTCCTAAAGTCACCTCCCCCGCTGCTCTTGGAAACAGCCTTACAAACTCTCTGCCCCACTCCAACCCTGCAGCGTCTCAAGAGCCCCGCTCCAGAAACAACCTCAGTGTAGTCTCTAGATGGAAGTATCACTGACATTTGTCCTTCTTCTTTGGAGCCAAAGACCGTTTCTTAAAACAGTCCACTCTCATGGCTAGGAAGTGCTGAGTACAGTAGTGCAGGCTGTGAGCTGCACATAAGTGTGTGTGTGGTGAGGTGCCACTCACAGCAAACGTATCACAGGTGTGTAAATGTATGATAAGTACTTTCCAGCAGATGTCAGTAGAGTGTCTTTTTCTAACAAAACCAGTAGAATCTCTGAATTTTTTTTGACAGGTGGAAGCAAAGCTTCTGGAGGACAGGGTGCTGTTCGCTAGTTTGCACAAAGATGCTCTATAGTCCAATGGTGGCTCTGTCAAAGTAACTTTTTTTCTCATACGGTCGAACTAATTCTATTTCAGAAAAAGAGACTATCGCCTTTATGCTGTTGTTTAGAGCATGGTTTTGGCGTTTGATATGGAACCCAAAGCCCAGGTTCCGAGTTTACCAAGTAATGGCCCCCAAATGACTGTATCGCACCAGACCTGCCCAGTGCCATCAGACCTTCTCAGAAGAGTCATATGGGAGAGATGTGGCATAGGGAACCCAGGGTCCTGACTGCTGACGATCCCATTAATTACCCCTTGGGCTACAGGGTAGGTCCTTTTCTGGCTCCAAACCCCAATGTCTTTGTCTCTGCCTAAGAGACCAATGGCATTCTCAGCCCTCTTTCAGCCCTGAAACACAATGACAGCTTTTTTTGTTGGTCCCAAAAGCAAACTCGGGACTGCAGCCTGTGGGGCACATACCTATGTATCCAGGACTCAGGCGAAGAAGGCACAAGGCATTGAGTCCTTGCCTGGTGCCGATTTTTCTCAAAAGAGCTTTTGAAAATTTGAGGGAAACTGAAATTTCAATTTCTATAAAATTCTTAAAAATTAAGATAAATCAAGACTTCAAAGACATTTCTGTCCTGTATCAGGCCTCCCTTAGGCATATACTCACACTTTCATTAGCGCTCATGGCTACTTTGGAGAAAATTTTTGAGAAGTGCTGGGTAAACCTATGATTTTGCTGCCAGCTGAGCTAGCACTGAGCATGCTGGGAAATGATTAGAGCTTAGTATAAGCTGGACCCTCAGCAGCCCCACACTCAATTCCAATCCAATGGAGTCAATGTTTTCCTGCACTTTTTCTGGAAACTTCTGGGGTTTCTTTTGCTGCTTGAGGAGCACAAGGCCCTGTTTATAATGGTTCTGTCTGCAGCAGAGGAAACACTCATGGAAACCCTGGAGGAGGAGAGACGCGGGCCAGGAGTTGCTCTGCTGAAAGCTGGGGGAGCTGTGTGTGCCAGTCCTTCCGGAGGCCTGCAGCCCCAGAGGGCGGCTCCCCGAGCCCTCCTGACAGCCACACACCACTTTCTGATAGACACTTGTATCCACAAGCTGCCAGAAAATTCCTAGGAAAATAGCAGATTTCCCTTGACTAGCTGTAATTAGGGAAGCAGGTGGTCTAGGGGGAAATAAGGCCTGGGCTCTGGAGTCTTGGCCTGGGCACCTGCCTCTTCCCAGCCCCCTTTGGGGTGAGGAACTGTCCTGGACTCCGTGGCATCTGGCCTCCTGTGTAAGCCCCACCCCCCACCTTCCCTGGTCTTTCGGTTGCCTTCTGGGCAGCTATTCCAAGGACCTCGGACACAGTCCTTGTTTGGATGAGCTCAGGGCCTCTTGTTTATGGGTCTCTTCTGTTTCTTGACTATTTACATAGCATGTCTCTGTCTCGAGATGTCGACCATGCAAACGTCAGCCTAATATTTACTTGCAAACATAAATAAGTCCCCACGGAGTGTCTCTGGCACACGGTTTTGAGACAGTGTGAAGGGTGTTCGTGTGTGTGTACACACACATATGCACACGTGCGTGTGTGTCTGCGCATTTTCTATTTCTTTGGAGGAGAAGCAGGGATGGCTTCTCACAGCATGGTTGGAGGGGAGGTGATAACCCCAGTGATCCTGGAGGGGCCTCCAAACCTTACGTATTCACTAAGCCATTTCACAGATTTATTTTTCTGTGAAAAATAAACAAGTATTTCTGCTGGAGGTCAGAAGTAATGCTCTCAAAAACTAGGAGCCCAAAGCCAGCCGTAAA